CTTTGCAATCAGCTTGGAGAGCTTTTCTCTAGGGTCCCGGGGCCTAGGGGTGTGGGTGGAGGTGGGCCCCAAACAAAGTGTTGCAAATCTGTCCCTGATGATTCCAATATGAAGAGCTCTGCGGGAGGAGGGTCCATAAGGCATATTTGAAGTGCCCTGTCTTTGTTGGAGAGGGATTCAAACAGGTAAACCTGTATTAGTTTTGATAGCTGTGTAAGCAGTGATGTTGCATCTGTGTGCTTGTGAAAAGGCAAGTCCTAAAGATTGCCTTTCTTTGCGATATTCCAGACTCACAAAGCTGAATGAACTACATTCGCAAACAGACTCTGTGAAAATGCCATCACCTATATATAGGAAAGTAAAGGGTGCAGGATACCAGCCTAACATAATGCTGTTCACTCTGATTATTTGGAGGGGGAAAAAAACCAACAACGAAAACCTAAAACAGGAGCGTCTTCATTTGCAGTGCCTAGAGGGAAGCCCCGCTCCATCTGGTCGGAACTGATGTTAGCCTCTGGAGTTTGCTCTGCAGGGAGGAGGCAGTTGGGGCGGGCCTAGTCTGGTTTCCGAGGCAAGGATAGGGAGGGAGCATTTCCTCACCCTGCGGTGATGGGTTCGGGGAGAGGTCCAACTCCTGCTGGAACAGGTTGCACGCGGAGTGGTCGCCGCCAGGGGGCGCAGTTGGATCCCGAGCGGGAGGCCCTGGCCAGGTCCTAGCTTCTTAACCCAGCTGGCGGGTGCCTGCCCCCCACCTGCCACTGGGGTCACCCGCCCCCGCCCTCGCCCCGCGCTGTGGTTTTGGTTCCCTGACAGAACCTCTGGGAGTCGTGCGCAACTCCCGGAGTTCGCCTTCTAAGGGGGTGGGGTTTGAGGAAGCCAGAACCTTTGCAGCCTGTCTGGGAAATGACGGCGAATTTAATGAAATCATCCCGGTGTGACATTTGAGTGGCCAAACGGAGGCTGGCCTTGCAAGGAAGCATTATCGACCCTGTGCAAACCGGCGCCTGCTCTGCGTTGCCCATCTCCCTCCTCTTCCAGACTCGGCGCTGGGGTGATACATATATAGCCCCTAAGACCTGGCTAGAAAAATCCCCTCTTACACTGACCATAATGTATTTCCAGCTCTGAGTGACTGTGTGCCTATGTCAGTCTAAATATTGTTTTAAAAAGAAACCCCGGATGTATTACTCCTGACTTGAAAACCTCACATTCTGCTTTCTGCTGAAGCTGTCCCAGTGTTTGCTGACTTGCTAAGAGGTCTGACTCTTTGAAACTGTTGGAGACAGCAGGATTAATGTCTTCCCGTTTGTTTTCTACCCTCCAAACCAGACGGGAGGAGTTGGTGTGGCTGTGTTTTTAAAGAGCGGAGGGCATAATTCAGAGGCACACTTCCGAATTAGCTTCTCTGGGTAGGAACAACTGACACTGGAGTAATTCATTTATTCTAAAGGAGAATCTGCATATTTTCACATCACACCCGCTGCACCACTGAGATTGTCTCTGCACATGTTCTAAGGCAACTGGGAAGGTTTTACCACTCCAGTAGAAGTGCTGAAAACTGTGACAAAGCTACCACTGTGCTTTGTCCCGGAGGCTGGAATACTTGGGAATCTACAGAAGTGAAAATCAAGGGGATTCAGAAGGATAGATTACTGCTTTATGACTTCTTTGGGGGCATTTAAAATTACTAGATGAAATGTACGTGTCCCAAAGCCCCAAACTCTCCAATAATAGGTTGTCAGATTGTGTAATATGTGAAAGTTCACTTTAAATTTAAGGAGAATGACACCGTAGACCCTTGACTATAAATAAGCCCTGGTGTTGAGTTTGTCCCTTGAGCCCCAGCTCATCTGCTCCTCACATGCACATGCTATTACCAGGGTGGGTATAGCTGGGAAACTAACGCCACTCACCATATAGGATGTTTAACATGGACACGGGCATGACAAGGAAACCCAGCAGCATATCAGCTATGGCAAGTGACATCAGGAAATAGTTGGTGGCGTTCTGCAGCTTTTTCTCTAGGGACACTGCCATGATGACGAGTATGTTTCCAGCAATGGTTAGAATAATCACTACAGCTGTCAACAAAGCAGACCAGTTTTTTTCCTGGAGATGAAGTAAGGAGAAGCAGGGTGGTGAGAGGCAGCCCTCACAGGAAAGGTTGGTTCGATTTTCCGAGTCCACTGTCCAGTTAAATGCATCTGAAGTGTTAGCTTCTCCGTTGTTAAAGTCATTATTGTAGAGCCTTGTGTCGTCATGTAATTGCACTAAGGAGTTTGTAGTGGAGCTCAAGGAAGCATTTTCTTCAAAAAGAACATCCATTGCTAAGCCGGAATTTGTAGCAGCTGAAGTAAAGGAAAACTAACAAGTCAGAGCCTCAGCCCGCCATTCATCTTTCTGTCCTCACGCTCTGTCACACGGAAGCTGGTGTACATGCTGGGCTCCTTGGGTTGCCTTTTTTCCCTCATGATCACAATGGTTGTTGAGGAACTGCAGTGGCTTCTTCTGTTTCTTCCCTTTACAATGTTAGGGGAGTCTTGTTGGTTGCATTTTTTTTTTTCCTTCAAAGCAAGGTCAAAAAAGCAGAATGAACTTTTTAACAGAGGTTGCAGAGTTTTGAGGATTCAGGAAGAAACAAGGTGATCCTGGCCAGAAAAGAAAAGTTTGGTGATTACCAGGAATCTCCCTGAGCTCTATCTCATTCTGTTGGTTATGTTGATCATACTAGTTTAGCCACAGCAGTATTAAAATAGCATGCAGTCCAAAACAGTGGGGCGGGAGGCATTCTACATTAAGAAAATCCATTAAAAATACATCCAGTGTTAATCCCATAGTAATTGAATCTAGTTGGGGTTATAGTTCTAAGTCTGAGGCTGAATGTCGGGAATTTCCCAGCTGCTGTCGGGAATTTCCATTTGCATTATTCTTAGTTAATAAAAGAAGGAAAAAAAAAGTCTTAAGCAAAGATCGGACAACTTTCCACGCTAGCAATTCTCATGGAAATGGTAACATTTTGGCCAAGCACGATTTCAAGCCAGAAAGAAAATTGCACGGCAGTAAAAATACAGCAGCATGAGAACTTACATTTGTCTTCAGGGTCCCCACGTTAGACATACTTTGCTGTTCTGTGACTTGCCGCATCTCTCATGGTAATTAAGCGAGCATAGAGTCCCTTCTTGAGCATCGACCAGCATAATAGGATAGTAATTTGATTTCTGTTTTGCTGACTTCAAAAACTGCATGCACGAGTAGAAGCACTTCCAGCGCTGCGCGGTCTGTGTTTGCTGGCTCTGCCCCCACTCAGCTGGGTTACTCCCTCCCTGTGCGGCTTGCCTGAGCCAGGCACACGTTGAGAAATCATTCATGAGCCCCTCTCAAAGTCGCACAAAAGAAATCCCACAGGAAAGTAGGGAGAGCTGCCTGTGCCCAGGGATTCGTGGTTTCCACGGGAATGGACCAGCTCTCCGGCTGCCTTGTTCACTTCACCAGACCTCCCTCTATCTGCATGTCATAAACTGCAAGGTAGCAACAGCCAGGGAGGGCGGACCAAAGAGGCTTTTTTTTTTTTTTTTCTTTTTCTCGTTTCTCCTTTTTGCTACATGTTAACACTGGGAAGTTTTCTATTGTTAGAAATGGGAGAAATCGCCTTCTGTACAGATGGCTAAAGCAGGTAAGCTGCTCTGTGGTGTTTTTAGGGTGAAGAGCTAACATAAATAAGGCTAGAAAATGGCATATCCCGGGAGCGCTGTAAGCATGCCATGCTTCCGTCCAGAGCCCGTAAGCGCTTATGCCCGAAGCGCAGCTACTGACGTCAGTGACTTGGGCTCAGAGTGGCCAAGCACCTCTTGGGCGATACTCAAACCGTTTGTAGCATTTTTAGTTCTTAAAAGCATAACACCATTCAACTAACTTACTTTGTCCAGACTTGTACCGCCTAGAAGTAATTAAAAATCTCACATGTGGAAGACAGAGTTAGTTTCTCAGAGAATTTTGAAGGCCTCCTGCCTTCCTTGTAAACCAAACAAAATGCGCCTTCTATAGTTTCTAAAGAAAGCAGCTATATGGCAGACGCAGAAGTGTATGTATGCATACACACGCTATCTGCTTATTTTTACAGAAGAAAACAGGAGTCTTTGCTGAATAGCACAGTTTTCTCGGCTTCTGTCCATTGTCTTCACGTTGTCTCTGGACACATTCCATCACTTGAGTCCCTTCAACATGTCTTGGGACAAACCTGTACCTTCTTAGCAGATGGTTTCTCTCAGCTCTTGACTTAGACATTCAGCTGCCTGACCCCCTTCGTCTGTGCCCTAGAAGACCTTGACTGTGCACCTTTCTCCCTACCCCGTGCCCACTTCTTGGTGCTTATCTCCACCCATTCTCTTAGTCACAGAATCAGCATCTCTACAGACAGCTGGCTGTTAGCAAGACTCTTCATTTGTTCTCACTGCCAGAACTTTGTCCACAATGCCACTTGGGTGGACTCAGATGTCCTATCCTCCGGCCCATGCCCTACAAGCTTGCTGGGCTGGAGCATCTCCTTAGTGGGATTTTTCCCTTTCTGCCACCCTCCTCCCCCTCTGCATTCCTCAGAGAAGGAGGGGGGTGATGCCGGGCACCTAGAGCAGGCAGCGGAGAGCCTGGGCTCTGGGTCATGACTCCTTGGTTTTGAATCCCGGCTCCTTGACTCAAACAGCAGAGCCCTGGACAATCCAGCTGTCCTCCTTGAGACTCCGTATCCTCCCTTGTAAAAATGGGATAATTGTAGTACCTCCCTCAAGGTGGCAATGAAACTAAAAGGAGGTCATGCATATAAATAATTAACCCAACATGCTTAAAGGATGTTGTTAATGTCAGTGGCTTCTATTAATACTAGTGTTGACTTTATTAAAACAAAATTGACCTCACTCCCAATCAACTTGTGCTTCCATTCGTTCAGTCTCTCCCTTGTGAGGCACAACTCCGGTCTCTTCTGCCCCCACCGTTCCCACTTCCCAGGCCTGGATTCCTGTTTTCTTCTATAGGCAGCCTGAGTGCAAGTGAACTTGCAGGTTTGATCCTTTCGAAGCTTCTGTACTTGCAGTTCCCTGTGTCTGGAATGCTCCCCACCCCCCTCCTAGTATCCGTCTGGCAAATTCCTACTCCATTGTCAAGGCTCAGTTCCAGAGGTAAGTCCTCTGAATCCCACTCTTGACACTCACTACCTGTGTGACCTTGAGAAGCTGCTTCATCTTTGTGCCTGAATTGCCTCATCTGTAAATAGGGAAAAATCGTATCTACCTTAGATAATTGATGTCAGAGTTAAAATGTACCAGGCATGGGGTACCTGGGTGGCTCAGTCCGTTGAGCATCCGATTCCTGATTTTGGCTCATGTCGTGACCTCTCAGTTCATGAGTTTGACGCTGCATTGGCTCTGTGCTGATGGTAAGGAGCCTGCTTGGGATTCTCTCTCCCTCTCTCTGCCCCCTCCCCTAAATGTGTACGTACGCATGCTTGTGCGTTGCACTCTTGCTCTCTCTAAACAAACAAAAAATCACCAGACACGTGTAAACTTAAGAGCTCTGTAAAGTCTAGTTGTTGGCTTACGGTTATCAAGCTTTCCATGGCTCTCCTTCTCCCATATGTAGGCCCCTTCAGCTTTCTATTTTATCAGGGCTCACATTGCATGTAGGCAAAGACTAGGTTTGTCTTGTTGATGGCTGTACACATAGTGCTTAGATTTGTTTGTTGAAAGAAACGTGTGACTGATAAATACCTGTTCACATGTCTGTCTTTATTAAATGGTGAACTTCTTACCTATCTTCAAGGCTATGCATGGTATCTCCCGCTGAATTTTGAAAGAATAAATGAATTGGCAGCCTGTATTAAAAAGCAGAATCAGGGGGAAACAAAGAATCTCTAGTTCCTTTTTCATTACTTTGCCCAATGAGATACTAATTTAATCTTAAGAGAAGAAGTGTGATTGAAAAATACTTTGTTATAAAATTAAAGCTTTCTGATGATACATTTTGTTTTATGGATTACTGTGTTTTTCTTAGAGAAATCTGATCTCAGGCTTCATGAATAGGTTTGCAATCATGGCAAAGCCAGTCCATGAATTCCTTGGTGTACGATTTATATTGCAAAAATAATTGTCAGTAGCCTTTGGGGTTATTCACAACTGTATGAATACTTGTGCAAAACTCAGAGCCTTGGCTACTGTGCTTAAGCAGAGCTTGTGTATTAATAGGGTGGGGGTAAGATTTGGTAGGAATGGTTTCTTAAAGGTCAGACACTGTTGAGTTGGGAAGAGGGTTGTAGTTTGGCTGCTATGGTGAACACTGATGTGCAGCCCGGCTTCTCCTTCAGAGGTTCTCGTTTTCCCTGTTGCTGGAAGTGTTGATAACTGATGGCTCTCAGTGGATTCTCATTGTGAAAATTAACCTCCACCAAAGAGGCCATTTTGGCCATAGTCCTGCCTCTCCCCTGGAGTCTGCTGTGAGGATACAAAAGTCTGGCTCCCTTGCCTCGGGACTGGATGATGCTGAGGGACCATCCTGATATACCAGAGCCTCCGTGGCATCTGCTGAGGCCTCTGTTGGGACTTCACCATAGTTAATCTCCTCCCTCTCCCTTGTCCTGCCTCCCTCGCTGCCCTGCAGATACGGATCTGGAGCTCTAGGCATTCCTTCTCTTGCACACAAGTGTGTCTCTTGCACACAAGTGTGGCTTCCTAGGGAACCTAAAGCTTATATTTAAAAAATAAAAAAAAATTTTAACGTTTATTTATTTTTGAGAGAGACAGAGTGAGCAGGGGAAGGGCAGAGAGAGAGAGAGAGGGAGACACAGAATCCAATGCAGGCTCCAGGCTCTGCACCGTCAGCACAGAGCCCGACATGGGGCTGGAACTCACGAACCTCGAGACCAGACCTCGGCCCAAATTGGCCACTTAACTGACTGAGCCACCTAGGCACCCCCCTACGGCCCATAATTTTTTCTAATACTTATTTATTTTTTTTAATCGTCCCATTTCATTATTTTTAATATAACTTATTGTCAAATTCGCTTACATACAACACCCAGTGCTCATCCCAGTAAGTGCCGTCCTCTATGCCCATCATGGGTGGGGGTGGGGGAAGAAAGGCCTATATTTTTAAACCTGTGTTTTTAATGCTCACTCTGGATGAGCTTAATATCTTAGAGAAAATAGAAAAAAAAAAAGTATATTGATGAATATACTATTCTCCGGGCACCTGGGAGGCTCAGTTAAGCCTCCGACTTTGGCTCAAGTCATGATCTCACGGTTTGTGAGTTCAGCCCCATGTTGGGCTCTGTGCTGACA